GTTTGCAAGACTTGAAGCAATGATGCAGCAGGTTATTGGGTCCAATGCTAAGATAAATGAAAGGGTGGATGCACATGATGCAGCTATCAAAAATATTGAGGTACAAGTGGGCCAGATTTCAATGTCAATGAACAATCGTCCTCAAGGGACATTACCTGCAGATACCCAAATCAATCCAAAAGATCAGGGCCCAAAGCAGCTGATGGCGGTGAGTCTCCGTAATGGCAGGGATCTAGATGTAGAGCAAGAGAGAGCTCGAGAAAACATACAGGCTGAGACACTCATTCCAGTGCCCATTGAGCTGGATGAGTCTACGGGATTGACAGAGGTTACAGTCCAGCCCGCACCTGAAGAAAAGAATATACAGCAGGAGACTGAGGAAGTAGTTGAGCCAGTAGTTGAAATAGTAGATGAGAAAGAGAAATCCCAAGTGATGGAAGAAGAAAAGACCTCCTGCACCATTTCCACAGAGGTTGGCCAAGCATCAAAAGGAGGAGCAGTATAAAAAGTTCTTGGAGATGCTCAAACAAATCCAGGTAAACATACCATTGATTGAAGCTTTAAAGGAGATGCCTAGATACGTAAAATGATGAAGGACTTGATGTCTCGGAAGTTTGACTTCCAAGATTTGTCCACAGTGACACTCACTCAGACCTGTAGTGTAGTGGTGTCTAGACCAGTTGCTGAAAAGCTATCTGATCCAGGTAGCTTTACAATTCCATGCACTATTGGGAACTTCGCCTTTGCTAAGGCACACTGTGATTTAGGGGCCAGCATTAATCTTATGCCCCTGGTTGTTTATAAGAGGTTGGGCATTGGGAGAGCTAGACCCACCTCTATGTTGTTGCAGCTGGCCGACAGGACTGTGAAGCGTCCATTTGGGATCCTTGATGATGTGCTTATTCAGGTGGGGAAATTCGTGTTCCCTGCAGATTTTGTAATCTTGGATTGCAAAGTGGATGAAGAAATTCCTATAATCTTAGGACGGCCATTCTTGGCCACGGGGAGAGTCTGATTGATTGTGAGACTGGGGAGCTCAAGATGAGGCTCAATGATGAAGAAATTATATTCAATGTGCAGAAATCTATGAGGCGACCAAGTGAGTTCGCCAACTGTTCTCTTATTGATGCCGTGGATGTAATTGTAGAGTCTGATGATGAGGTGTTGACGGTTGAGGATCCCCTTGCTGCATGCTTGATGAATTTAGATGAGGTGAATGGTGAGGATTTGGCGGAATGGGTGTTGGCATTGGAAGGTAGAGGGTTCTGGGATAGAAATCTAGAGTTTGAGCCCTTACACTTAGAAAAGAGAGAGACCCCTCCAGCAAAGCCATCCATCGAAGAACCACCTAAGCTGGAACTAAAGCCATTGCCAGCTCACCTCAGGTATGAATTTCTGGGTCCCGAATCCACATTACCTGTTATTATCTCATCTGGTTTGTTAGATGTGCAGGTTCAACAACTTTTGTAGGTACTAAGGGAGTGCAAAACTGCCATTGGGTAGTCCATGCAGACATCAAGGGGATCAGCCCCGCCTATTGCATGCACAAGATTCTGCTGGAAGAGGGGCACAAACCTTCCAGGGAACATCAGAGGAGGCTGAACCCTAATATGAAGGAAGTGGTGAAGAAGGAAGTGATAAAGTGGTTGGATGCGAGAATCATTTTCCCAATCTCTGACAGTAGCTGGGTTAGCCCAGTTCAATGTGTTCCTAAAAAGGGTGGCATAACGGTTGTGAAGAATGACAACAATGAACTAATCTCAACAAGAATTGTCACAGGCTGGAGAATTTGCATGGATTATCGAAAGTTGAATCTAGCCACCCGTAAAGACCACTTCCCACTTCCCTTCATTGATCAGATGCTGGATAGATTGGCAGGGAGGTCACACTTTTGCTTTCTGGATGGGTACTCAGGGTACAATCAGATCTCTATTGCACCCGAGGACAGAGAGAAGACCTCCTTCACATGCCCATATGACATTTATGCCTTCAGGAGGATGCCCTTTGGCCTATGCAATGCACCCGCCACATTCCAACGGTGCATGATGGCCATATTCACTGATCTGGTAGAGGATATAATGGAGGTGTTCATGGATGACTTTTCAGTGGTGGGAAATTCATTTGAGGAGTGCCTAATAAATCTGACGCGTGAGCTGAAATGGTGCATCGAGACTAACTTGGTTCTGAATTGGGAGAAGTGCCATTTCATGGTAAAAGAAGGAATAGTCTTGGGGCACCAGGTGTCAAGCTAGGGAATAGAGGTGGATCGAGCAAAGGTTGATGTAATAGCAAAGCTGCCTCCACCAATTTCGGTCTAAGCCATAAGAAGTTTTCTTGGACATGCCGGTTTCTACCGGAGGTTCATAAAAGACTTCTCCAAAATCGCCAACCCTCTCTGTAAGTTGTTAGAAAGATCACCCGTTTGTATTTTCTGATGATTGCAGGGTAGCGTTTGAGGAGTTGAAACAGAGGCTGGTCACAACACCCATCATTGTTGCCCCCAACTGGGAGCAACCGTTCGAATTAATGTGTGATGCTAGTGACTACGCAGTGGGGGCAGTGCTGGGCCAGCGGAAAGACAAATTGATGCACCCGATCTACTATGCTAGTAGAACGCTGAGCGGGGCCCAGTTGAACTACACAGTGATAGAAAAGGAGATGCTAGCTGTGGTGTTCGCTTTTGACAAGTTCCGGTCCTATGTGATAGGATCCAAGGTAATTATATACACTGACCATGCAGCTCTTAGGTACTTAATAGAAAAGAAAGAATCTAAGCCACGCCTGATTCGTTGGGTGTTGTTACTGCAAGAATTCGATCTTGAAATACGTGACCGGAAGGGCACTGAGAATCAAGTCGCTGATCATCTATCACGACTTGAGGGAGCTGAAAATGTAGTAGAGGTTGAGGAAATTCTGCAAACATTTCCAGACGAGCAGTTGCTCGCCACCACTCATCAGGAAGCGCCATGGTATGCGGACTTTGCTAATTACCTGGCCAGTGGTATTGTTCCTCACGACCTTTCATCGGTCCAAAGGAAAAGATTTTTTCGTGAAAGCCGCCAGTATTACTGGGATGAACCTTATCTGTTCAAAATATGCCTTGATAATATGATCCGGAGATGCGTCCCCGAGATAGAGCAATTTTCTGTTTTGCAGGCTTGTCACGCATCGGCGTATGGTGGACACTTTGGGGGAATCAGGACAGCAGCAAAGGTGCTAGAAGTTGGATTTTTCTGGCCAACGGTGTTTAAAGATTCTCACTTATGGGTAAAGGGCTGTAATGAATATCAACGCACCGGGAACATTTCCCGGGGCCACGAGATGCCCATGAACCCAATTCAAGAAGTGGAAGTGTTTGACGTCTGGGGGATAGATTTCATGGGTCCCTTCGTCAGTTCCTATGGCAATAAGTACATTCTTGTTGCTGTAGACTATGTGTCCAAGTGGGTAGAAGCTGCAGCGAATGCCCACCAATGATGCAAAAGTAGTGGTTGGGTTTCTAAAGAAGAACATATTCACCCGCTTTGGGACACCACGCGCAATTATCAGCGACGGAGGCACTCACTTCTGCAATAGGGCTTTTGAAAAGTTGTTGGCTAAGTATGATGNTTATATAACAAAAAAAAATTGTTGTGATTGTATTCAGAGATTGCGCCAATATTTTTTATTTATGAATCCTAATTCACGAATTTTTTTACTTATTGGGGTTTAAAATGAAAATAAAGGAGTTACTTGGCGAAAATTGATGGGAGCAAAATGTCTATATATGAAGAGTGTTAAAATGGAAAGCAGATTTACGAAAAATTAGCCGGAGGAAAATGATGAATAAATACTAAATGCACAGCAAATATCATTCACTTAAATGCTTATAAAAATATAGAAAACGAAAGTGCTATTTGAAAAATGTAACCAAATATATGTATTATTATAGGAAAAAATATAATATAAGGATTCTAAAGTTTCCTGAAAACATTTAACCGAGTTCTAAAATTAGTAAAAAGTATTTTACTTTGAAATTTATCTTCTCCATAGAACGAGAAGAAACTAAAATAAACTATTAATAGAAAAATAAAATTGAAATCTAACTTTTATGTACCAATAGAAAAATAGCTACATTTTTCTTAATTCTGTAAGTATTCAATCGTTTATTTATTTTTTATTATTTTCACTACTATGTGTTTATTGTTTAATTTTTTATTATTTTCACTGCTATGTGTATTAAGAATTCTAGAGAGTGTCACCAAGTCTTTTCAAACACATTTGGTAATATTTTAATAGAATGAATGGTTATAATAATGTAGGACGAGTTTATTAAAAAAAAAAAAGAATGTAGACAACAGACTAATGTCAGTGTTTACTTGCCTACATATTTGTTAGTATGACAGTAATAGACAATTGACATTATTTGTATTGATGAGGCTAATATTTCTCATAGTTTTCTTTGTCTACCTCGATCCAATTAACAAAAAAATATCCATAAATCCATTAATTTTTTTTTACAAAATAATCGCGCGCTTCTCTAGTTAATAGCATAATTTTAGTTTAATATTTTGTAAATCAATTGATTCTTACATTATCCGCGGGTAAAAATCAACATCAAATACTTGCCCAAATTTGATCCTTAACATTCAAACCATATGCACTATTTGACATTATTGGAGCATGAGTGTCAACAAATAATACTAGACCAATTCTAAAAATTATGTACATAAAATAACTCAATTAAAGACCACAATTTTTCACGTGACTCAAATATTTGCCTATAAATTCGCACCCTGTACTTGCCTCTATCTTGCACTAATATTAGGAAAGTAATACAAATTCTGCTAGATATGGGAAAAGCGCTTCATTCTCCTATTCAAATTAGGCATAAAAGAAGAACTAAATCCTCTGCCTATAAATGCATTACTCAATGACAAAGTGCGCAATGCCGACAAATTAAAAAAGCAATGGCGTACGAGTACCTAATGAAGTTCATAATAGTGGGCGAAACCGGAGTAGGAAAAACCTGCCTTCTAAACCAGTTCACAGAAAAGCGGTTCAATCCGGTTTACGACGTCACAATCGGAGCCGAATACGGATCCAGAATAATCACCGTCGATAAAAAGCTAATAAAGCTGCAAATATGGGACACAGCAGGACAGGAGAAGTTCCGGTCGATCACGAAATCCTATTACAGAGGCGCTGCGGGGGCTTTGCTAGTTTACGATGTGACTAAAATGCACACTTTCGAGCGGCTCTCGAATTGGCTGGAGGATGTACGACAACATGGCGATCCGAAATTGATGACAGTAACGGTGGTAGGAAGTAAGTGTGACGTTGGAGAAGATATTAGGGCTGTTAGTGCTGAGGAAGGCGAGGGATTCGCGAAGAGTAACGGATGTTTGTTCATTGAAGCTTCGGCTGAAACGGCGGTGAATGTGGAGGCGGAGTTTGAAATCACGGTGGAGAGAATATATGGGAAGATAGAAAACGGCGATTTTGAGGATAGATTACCGGGAATTAGGATCGGAAGTGGGACTCCCACGACGAGTGGTAAGAATGACGATGGAGCTGCTGCTTCTAAAAGACTCAACTGTTCATGTTTGATGCCGTTGTCAATTTATTTTTCTTATTTTTATTTTTTCTTTTCGTTGGCTGAGAATATATATATATATATATATATATACATATATATA